GATGAATGTACTAGAGCGATTAAAGATCGTAACAGGGCATTTAAAATACTGCAGAAAAATCTAACACTTGAAACTCTTATTAATTATAAAAAGAAAAGAGCAGTAGCTCGTAAAATTATTAAGGAAGCCAAAAAGAAAACGTGGAGAGAATATACTTCCTCAATAGGATCTGAAATTAAATTGCAAAATGTATGGTCAATGTTTAGGAAAATGATTGGGAAAAGGAGTGATATTAAAATACCAGCCTTAGTCAGAGATCAGGAAGTAGTAGTGTTAAATAAAGATAAGGCAGATTTGTTGGGGGAAGCATTTGCGGCAGTACATAGTGGGGAACATCTTACAAACATTCATAGACAACAGATGAATCAAAAAATTAGCAAACATAAAAATATTTTGGGAAAAAGTCAAACATATAATTCAACATTAGACATAAATATAACCATGAAGGAAATTAAAGCAGCATTGAAAGGGACAGGATATTCAGCTCCTGGGGAAGATCAGCTATGCTATGCTATGTTTAAACAGATTCCTGAAGTAACATTAGAATTAATATTAAAACTGTTTAATAAAATATGGAAAGAAGGTTTAATACCAAATAGATGGAAGAGAGCAATAATCCTACCGTTTAATAAACCAGGGAAAGATCCTGCAAATCCAAATAATTACAGACCAATAGCATTAACTTCACACTTAAGTAAGTGGATGGAGAAAATAGTGATTAAGAGACTAGAATTTATTCTTGATCATAAGAAATTAATCAATGAAAATCAGTGCGGATTTAGGAAAGGAAGATCAACAATGGACGCAATAACTAGAGTTAGTAATGATATAGAGAAAGCTTTAAAAATGAAAGAAATTATGATTGTAGTATTTTTGGACATAGAAAAAGCTTATGATTCACTATGGAGAGAAGGACTACTTATAAAAATGAAGCAGATGGGAATAGGAGGGAAAATGTTTAATTGGATAGCAAATTTTTTAAAGGATAGAAAAATAAAAGTTAAGATTGGAAATGACTACTCAAAAGAATTGAATATTGAAAATGGAATTCCACAAGGTAGTGCAATTAGCCCAATACTATTTAATATTATGATAAACGATATCTTTTCTGAAACAGAAGAATGTATAAAATCTGTATTATATGCTGATGATGGAGTATTATGGATGAGAGGAAAGAATACAAGATTTGTTATAGGTAAAATTAAGAAAGCGATTAATAAAGTAGAAAAATGGTCCTTTGAATGGGGTTTTAAATTATCAACAAGTAAATCTTGTTATATGATTTTTACAAATAAGAAAAACATAGACATAGGTACAATAACATTATATGAACAACCATTGGAAAGGGTAGCAGAATTTAAATATCTGGGAATATGGTTGGATCAATCATATACATGGAAAACGCATACAAAGAATCTGGAAACTAAATGTAAGAAAGTGATAAATCTACTAAAGGCTGTGGCTGGAAATAACTGGGGTGCAGATAGACAGTCATTATTAAACATATATAGGGCTCTCATGAGATCAACAATAGACTACGGTAGTTTTATATATGGAGTAGCAGCTAAAACAACATTACAAAAAATAGATACTTTACAGAATAGGGCTTTACGTATATGTACAGGAGCAGTGAAAACGACACCTATTAATGCCCTTCTAATAGAGACTGGAGAGATTCCACTAGAAATAAGAAGAATAAAATTAGCTCTGACATACTGGATGAAAATAAAAAGTAAAAAAGATGAAAATGTAAATTCAACAATATTAAAATATTGTTGGGAATACTTAAAGTTCCATAGTAATGGATTTGGATGGATCATAAACAAATGGATTAAAATATATGAATTAGAAGATAAAGAAATAGCTCAATTTAATCCAATTAATGTTAGCCCTTCATGGATATTTCCGGCAGTAAATGTAGACATAAAACTCCTTAAAATGAAAAGCGATTGGAATTTAAAAGAAATAGGGGTAAAAACCGATATATACTTAAGAAACTCATATTATAATTATGCTAAAATATATTCAGATGGTTCTAAGAATTCAAAAGGATGTGTGGGAATAGGAATTTATATATCTGAGTTTAAAATTGACATATCTAAAAGATTATCTGATCAACTATCTGTATTCACGGCAGAAATGGTGGCAGTTATCATCAGTTTGCAGTGGGTAGAGGAGGTGCGTCCAGACAGAGTAGTAATTTGCACAGATTCCAGAGCAGTCATAGAAAGTATTCAAGGAGAAGGAAACAATAGGAAAGATCTAGTACTAGAAATTCAACATAGCTTATTTAGAATATACAGAGGTGGCATTGATGTTTGGTTCTGTTGGGTACCAGCACATCAAGGTGTAAAAGGAAATGAAAGGGCAGATAAATTAGCAAAAAGGGCTTTAGATCAGGCAATAACGATTAAAATACCTATTGGCAAAGGGGAAGGGAAATCAATTATTAAGAATAAAGAAATGGAAATATGGCAAAAAAGATGGAATGAAGATAAGAAAGGAAGGAAATTATATAAAATACAGAAGTCAATATTTAGTAGAAATATTAAGGAGAGAAATAGAAGGGAAGAAATAATAATGATTAGACTGAGAGTAGGGCACACATATTTAAATGATACTTTATATTTAATAGGGAAGAAAAATAAGGATAAATGCGAAAAATGTGGAGAGAAAGAAAATGTAGAACATATACTACTGAACTGTAAAACATATGAACGTGAAAGGGAGAAATTGAGAAGAATAGTTGGAAAGACAGATCAAGAATGGAGTTTGAAAGGAATATTGGGAAATGATGGAAATATAAAGGATATTTGTAGGATAAGAAAAGCGTTATTTATTTTTCTTCAAAACACAAAATTAAAAAATAGAATATGACTGATGTAGAATACTGTTGCTACACACTCGTGTACAGTAGGTGGCGGTATGCACCTTAAAGTTGATTGCGACCCGCCATAATAGAAAAGAAGAAGAAGAAGGTGTAGCAGGTGGCATGCAAAAAAGGGGAGAGAGGTTGTTTGAATGGAGAGGCTACAAAGAGTCCTGCCGGATGGGGTTGAAGAAAAAAAGAAAAAATCAGCCCACTGGACAATATTTGTGGAAATAAGGACTTTAAAAGAAAAAAATGATTTTTTCCCCCCCCGCTGGATGTGCTGGTGAGACCCATCTGGTTTATTCATTTTTTCCTTTATTTTTTTTTTGTGCAATGCATTACTGAAGACTGATTTTGCGACCTATTTTGTACAATTTTGTGTGTTTTTGTTTTTTTGTATTTTTGCAAGAGGACCGGTGTTGGATTTACACTATGGAGTGACTTTGGGGGGGAAGCGGTGAATACTGATGGTGATTTTTGACCAAGACTCTTGAGAAAATGTGGGGAAAGAAGTGGATTGTTTGTGAATTGTGTGATTGATAAACGAAATACAGGTGACTGATTTGGGATAAAGCGTGTGTGGTGTAATGGTTATTTTTATAACATTTTGATAAAAAGTTTTCACAGATAAAAGTTAAACATTTTAGACCGAACGTAATTAGTAACAGTTGTTTTTCTGACCAAGATCAGGGGAATTGTTAAAAGTTCATAAAATTGATTAGTTTTTTTTATCTTGCCTCGTCGCACTGACTTCCAGCACACCTCCACTCACGCAGCCACCCATGATCTCCACACGGGGGCAGCAGACACGCACTCATGCACACGACGAAACATGTCATTTGTGTGTCAGTATCTGTACATTATCTCAAACGTTTATACAAAACGGTTTATTTTCTTGTGCTTCAAAAGTGTAAACTAAAAGTGAATCTGCCGTAATTGTAAGAAAAAACAGAAAGGGGAAATTTAAAACATCTGAAATAGTCTGCTTCCCTAGATGGCTTGAGTAAAGAAAAGCAAATGTCTCATAATTCACAGGAATATTTGGTATATGATGAGGGTAAGGAAATAATAACTTCAATAACTCTGCCAGAGCGGATGATTCCAAGGTACAATAACACATTAACACGAATGACTAAAAGTCATGGAAACTCGTAGAAATCTATTTAATTTATCCAGTAAGGTATATTTTACATTACTATCGTGGTTTTCCGGAATGACACGCAAACGCCGCTCTTTGCGTGCGGCAACAGACCAGTACGTTCATGGTGATTTATGAAAATGACGCAATGACGTGGTTCAATTTTGACCACTTGTAGGGCGGATGAGAGCTACTTTCTTTTAACGTGGGGGGGGGCACATGGGTCCTGATGCAGGGAAACTGCCAACAGACTGCTCTGTTTGGGGTTATTAACGGGACATATTCTGACAGTTAAAAGCTAACATCACTGTCCGCCTGCGCTAAAACATCCAAAATAGTTTTTTTTTATATTTCTATCAGACGGTGTACACTTCTGATTGGAAAAGTGTGGACTTTCAGCGTCCGTCCGGGTGGAGAAAATATCTGAAGACCTTGACAATCAGTCCCAAACGACCCGGATCTGACGTGTGAAGAAGTTTCTCTGGAATAAATAAATAATCATCTGCCGACCTGTTGTTCTCACAGCAACAAGCAGACAGAACAACAACAGACCCCACATCCGTTCGACCTGGACATCCATTTTTAGAGAATTTATTGTCAAGTAAAACGGATACAACCAGTTATTCTTGTCTCACGTTCAGATTATTTTTTGAGCTCATGAGAACTGTCAACTACAAAAAACTCCCAGCATTGCTGACTGACCCCCCACCCACCAAACGTGAACCTGCATCATGTTTCTGCCTTTACTTTGAAGTTCACCGGAAGTGGGAGTGCGTTTCAACACCTGTGTGGCTGTGGGGCGCGTGCGGAGCGGCTGTGACCGCCCTTCGCATCGTGGATGTGGCTTTTTCCGCATTCTCCCCTGCCTTCCCGCGGACGCTTTCCTGATCTCCCGGGCAGACCCCTCCATGGGACGGCCGAACCCGGCCCGGAGAGCACCCCAGCAGCCGGAGGCCGCGCTGCACGCCCCCCGGCCCGCCGCCCCCCGGCCCGCCGCCGCGTCCATGTTGACGGTCAGTGTTCTTTCCGTGTTCGCCGATGTGTCTTCGTCCTGCTCGAGCCGGAGAGTAGAGAGTTTGCTCCTGTTTCCGGCAGACAGGCTCAGGCCTGTCAGGAAGAGTGCTCATACACCCGAAACAACTCGTTTAGTGAGCTGGAAAGGCCAAATCCCTCTGTGCAGCAGGTATTCAAAACCAGTCCACAACATGGAGGGAGCGACATCGGCTGTTGGTTTTGGTGTGGTCAGAAACTCTCACATTGTAGCAGATAACCCTTAGAACTGAAAGTCAGGCCTGCATGCAGCCACCGGGGGCTGGGGAATGAAAGTGTAGTGATGCAGACAGCAGCATCCGAGTCTCTGCTGCCCATCCAGCTACAAACCTGAGGTGGATGTAAAATGACCCCCTTGCTTCGTCATGCCTTTTTCTTTGCACATCTTCAGTCAGTGTAAAATCACTTCCGTCTTCAACTGAAAAACCATCAGTACCCAGCAGGCAGCCCTCCCTTCTGGTTTGGAGTTTGGAGTTCCTCCGATGGAGCTTAGAGCTCTCTCCTGTTCCTGCCAGAGGCGCCCGGGAAGGAGTGCACATCAGGATGGAGGGTTTGGTTCCATCAATGAGGATCATTATTATCATGCAGTCAGAAAAGAGTATTTATGTCAATGGAATTTGCATTTGTCTTTTATCATGTTGTGTGTTAAGTGTTGTACTTTTTCCATGGTTAAAGCCAAATAATTTTATTGGCCTATTTATTAAGGAACAATGAAGGAAATAGCACAGTACTGATATTCTGAATAAGACTCAAATAAATCGTGTGAATCAATTTTAATAGTGATTAATGTTCAGAATATGAGTTGATGGTTATCATGTTACATTTCTGGACTTTTGGTGGGTTTTGCATATACAAACAACTAAATGGTTTATTTAAACTCTCAAAAAGCACGGCTCAGAAAACCACACTGAACGTGAAAACAGACAAACGCAGAAACCACCAGAAAACCAACCTAGGACGGACACTAGAAACGCAGAATGAAAGGGCAAGGCAACATGTGCTGCAAACACGGTAAGAAACACAGGCAGTGACTCAAATGACTGACAAGCTTAGATGGAGGAGGGTTAGGGTTAGGGAGGAAAAGCAGGTGACACAGGGAACACAGGAGAAGTGACATGAGCTGCGTTGAATAACCAGAATAGGAGGGAACTGAGGGAGGGGAAGTAAACGGAGACACACAAGGGGAACACACAGGAAACTAAGCAGAGAGCCAAAATAAAACAAAGGGAGCTAAAAGAAACACAAGAAAAACCAAGACACAACCTAGAAAACAATCCAGAATAAAACCAAAACCCGATGTGAGTGATGCCAGAGACACCTAGAGAATGAGATTGGGAGGAATGTAACCTAGGATCTGAATATAAGTGAAGTTGAATAAAGTAAGTCTTTGTCTAACCTGGTCATTGTCCAAGCTGGCATGGCCTCAAAGTTGCAAGTTGCATAATTTTAAACTGAATATTTTGTGGCAGTGAAATTCCATTTCTGTTGTTAAAGCTCAGGCACAACTTTGGTGTTCCAGTTTTTGGAGAATTATGAACACCTCATAACTGACTGCTCAACGACTGGTGACAAGCAACTAGAAGACCAAGGGAGTTGAAGCCAAGAATCAACATGGCTGTCTTCAAGCCGGAAAATGTGGAAGACTTCTATGAAATCGGTGAAGTTCTGGGAAGGTACACATTTTTCTGCATCTCCAGTGAAACTTCCAACGTGTGAATGACTTGTCCTCTCTAAACGTTTAAATCCCATGATCATATTATATGTTAATAAATACAAACATAGCCCATGTGTAAGGAATCCTTGAGGCGGTCCCTATTTGCCTACAGGTCATCTATATTTTACAGACAAAAAGGGTTGCTTGCCATCAACAAGGACCAAGTTTGTTTAGTCCACATAAACCCTTTCTTCACTGTATGTCCACACAAATTGCTACTGCATTATCCCCAGTCCTCACAGCCAGCCGCTGTTCCTCCCCTTTGTCATATAGATGTATCTGTGGGGCATTATCTGTGTCAGTGAGTGTGGTCCTGTGGTGGAATGGTGACCTGTCCAGGGAGTACACCACGGCTTCCCCAATGTAATTTCGGATAGGCTCCTGTTGGCCCCTCCAAAATATTCACTAATTGTTTATAGCTGTATTTCATGCTAGATGAACACAGAGTGAAACATGTCCTTGTCCGCTCCAGCGGCCACTTTGGACAGGTTCGTCAGGTCCGTGAGAGGACATCCGGGGTTTTTTGGGCAGGAAAATTCCTAAAGATCCGAAAAATCGCATGCAGCCGCCTGGGTGTGGAGAGGAGCAGTGTGGAGCGAGAGGTGGAGATCCTCCAGTCTGTGCAACATCCAAACATTGTGACTCTCAAAGACGTTTTTGAGAGCCGATCGGAGGTGGTCCTCATCCTGGAGCTGTAAGTCCATTTTCCAGTCTGATCCATTATGTACCTGGATATTTGGAATGTGTCACATGAGGGTCAGAATGATTCTCCCGTGACAACACTGGAAAAGAGTGAACAGCACACGTTTTTGAGCCACAGTGGTCCCTGTACACCAACGGCATGTGAATGCACACCCTGAATTTAAAAGTGCGGCAGCTATGTGACTAAGAGTTATTATGAATTTACACAGAAAAAGAGCTTAACTGTTGGGCGACTTTCCTCATGGATGAACAAAAGACAGCTTATATATAATGCTTTTTTTCTCTGTGCAGCAGAAATGTTTCAAAATACTCACTCCTCTCTATGACTTCTTAGTGTCAGTGGAGGAGAATTGTTTGACTTCATTGCCGAGAAAGAGAACCTTCTGGAGAGTGAAGCTATTGAGTTCATGAAACAAATCCTGGAGGGGCTGAGGTTTATGCACGGGAGCAACGTTGCCCACTTTGACCTGAAGGTAACAGTGAAGCAACGCAGACTAACTTAGGTCAATATGACAATGCACGCTTTAAAAGACAAGCTATCTGCATCTCCTGCATGATTGTGTCGTTTTTTTGCAGCCGGAAAACATCATGCTCTCTGACAAGGTGTCTTCCAACCCCAATATTAAACTCATTGACTTTGGCCTGGCCCACCGCTTCCATCAGGGGGAGGAGTACAAGAGCACAAGCGGAACTCCCCAGTACATCGGTGAGGATGCTTTGAGATGTCTGTTTCCATGGAATCTTAGGTCATTCATCATGTTTTGACAGTGAGCATATGTAACCACATCTGTAGATGCCAGAAGAGACAGAATGATCTGGACTCTGTAATGCGGAGGATTTATTATGAAGCCAAAAGGGAGCCATAAGCCGTTTTTTTTCATTGTGAGGACTCATTTTGAGGACCCGGGCAGAAGAACACATGGAGCCAGCAGAGCACTTTGATTAACTTGTATTTAAGAGAGAACGACAGCCTCTTCACTGGTAGTGTACAGATGCCTGTGGTCAATATTAGGCTGTTTTCACATGTTTCTGCAGCTCTTAAGCAGCAGAAAAACCTCTCCATCTTTAAGTTATGCACAAGAGAGGTTTCTGTACTTTAAATATCAAATGAAGGTTTTATTGAGCCACATTCACATCTTCACCTGACTGTTTTCTGGGTCTCTGTAGCTCCCGAGGTGATCAACTGTGAGCCTCTCAGTACAGCAGCTGATATGTGGTGAGTAGCTGCTCTCACTGTGTGTGCATGTTCACTGTTCAGCTGTGTATGGCAGGTATTCAGACAGAATTCCAAAATATTACAGACATTGGGATTATATTGCAATCCTAATCTAGAATTATTTTTTGAGTCCCCTGTTCATTTGACCTGACTAACTGTGTCCTGTGTCTTCGTCCCTACAGGAGCATTGGAGTTATCACCTACATACTGTAAGTTGAGTGCTGGATGGCTCATAGCAGGTTTGGCAGTGAAAACTGTATGTTGTTCTGCATTTTTGATAGTTTGTACCAAAACAACTCCAGCTCGGCACTATGTAATGCCACATAGGTTCTTAATATGAAGTCAATTTCAGAGAAGATGGATCTCTTCGTCACAGTACCTGTCAAGAAAATAGAACAGAAAAAACCTCAAACCAGGATGTGAGGTACCTCAGCCTAAAAATGTCCTTTTCAAGGGTGTCCTGAGTGCAAGTTGCACGAAAACACAAACCTGTGAGGCCTTCCCTCTGCAGTCCAAAGACAGGCTGAAACCAATGTATGGATATGTGTTGATGTCTTTGTTTGCAGGCTGAGTGGTTTGTCGCCATTCCAAGGTGAGACTGATGAGGAGACTCTAAGGAATGTCCTTGCCACGAAGTATGAGTTTGACGAGCGCTACTTCAGCATGGCAAGCTCCATGGCTAAAGATTTCATCCAGAAACTCTTGGAGAGGAATCCAAAGTATGTATTATGATATACGTACAGTGTGTTTCTCCCTGGGAAAAACATCTATCATCTTAAAGTGTTTGCTTATTTGCAAACTTGGAATAGCTTTGAAATGTACAGTCAGGGCCAGAAATATTTGGACAGTAACACATTTTTCACGAGTTGGGCTCTACATGCCACCACACTGGATTTGAAATGAAACCTCTACAACAGAATTCAAGTGCAGGTTGTAACGTTTAATTTAAAGGGTTGAACAAAAATATCTGATAGAAAATGTATGAATTGTACATATTTCTTTACAAGCACTCCACATTTTAGGAGCTCAAAAGTAATTGGACAAATAAGCATAACCCAAACAAAAAAGTTTTTTTTCAATATTTTGTGGCAAATCCTTTGGAGGCAATCACTGCCTGAAGTCTGGACTGTATGGACATCACCAAACGCTGGGTTTCCTCCTTCTTAATGCTTTGCCAGGCTTTTACAGCCGCAGCTTTCAGTTCTTGGTTGTTTGTGGGTCTTTCTGTCTGAAAACTGGTTTTGAGCGAGTGAAATGCATGCTCAATTGGGTTAAGATCTGGCGATTGATTTGGCCATTGCAAAATATTCCACTTTTTTGCCTTCATGAACTCCTGGGTAGCTTTCACTGTATGCTTGGGGTCATTGTCCATCTGTACTGTGAAGCGCCGTCCATTAAACTTTGCAGCATTTGGCTGAATCTGGGCTGAAAGGATATCCCGGCACACTTCAGAATTCATCCGGCTACTCTTGTCTGCTGTTATGTCATCAATAAACACAAGTGACCCAGAGCCATTGAAAGCCATGCATGCCCATGCCATTACATTGCCTCCACCATGTTTTACAGAGGATGTGGTGTTCCTTGGATCATGTGCCGTTCCCTTTCTTCTCCAAACTTTTTTCTTCCCATCACTCTGGTACAGGTTGATCTTGGTCTCATCTGTCCATAGAATGCTTTTCCAGAACTGGGCTGGCTTTTTGAGGTGTTTTTTGGCAAATTCAACTCTGACCTGTCTATTTTTAGATTTGATTAATGGTTTGCATCTGGACGTGAACCCTTTGTATTTACTTCCATGGAGTCTTCTCTTTACTGTTGACTTGGAGACAGATACACCTACTTCCCTAAGAGTGTTCTGGACTTCAGTAGATGTTGTGAACGGGTTCTTCTTCACCAAAGAAAGTATGCGGCGATCATCCACCACCGTTGTCTTCTGAGGACGCCCAGGCCTTTTTGAATTCCGATGCTCACCAGTGAATTTCTTTTTTCTCAGAATTTACCAGACTGTTGATTTTGGTACTCCAAGCATGTCTGCAATCTCTCTGATGGATTTTTTCTTTTTTTTTCAGCCTTAGGATGTTCCGCTTCACCTCAATAGAGAGCTCCTTTGACCGTATGTTGTCTGGTCACAGCAAGCTTCCAAATGCAAAACCACACACCTGGAATCAACCCCAGACCTTTTCACTACTTAATTGATTACAGGTTAACGAGGGAGACACCTTCTGAGTTAATTGCAGCCCTTATTGCCCATTGTCCAATTACTTTTGATTCCTTGAAAAGTGGGCAACACATACAAAAGCTGTTGCTATTATTTTATAGAGAGATACGCCTAAAAATGTCCACTCAAATGAAATGTATGGACTCGTGAGTTTCCTGTGTAAAACGTTCAGCTTCACAATGACATTTTGGTTCACAAAACCAAGTCAGCACTTTGAATCCAGACTATAAATGGAGAATGGGATTCCTCTCAGCCTGTTATTTTTAACAGGAATGTTTTTAAATAAAGGTTGACTTTCAGATGCTGATTGAGAGTAAACTGGCATACTCGCTCATGAAGCACTGCTCTCCTCTGCAACACAAGCACCCATACTGTTGGTGCCAGGGCAGTCCTTTTCAAATTGACAGGACGGGGTTTGTGACTTGATGAGATTGGTTTGCCTCTGCATTAACAATAGAAATCTGGCAGCAACAGGAGGGGCGATCACGCAGCTGCTGAGTAGCTCCCTGTCTCCGCTGCCCTTTTGGGGGCGAGACTTTGGTGAGGTGGGCTGCAGGTCCGTTTGATCAGCATGCCCTTATGTTGGTGTGTGTTGCAGTGAGAGGATGACAGCTGAGGAGTGTCTCCTTCATCCTTGGATTAAGGTGACTACTGATCCTGGTTCTAAAAATCTTCCTGTGATGCCTCCGGTCAGTTGCTGATTGCTGCAAATGTCCTCTGTTTCAGCCCATCACACGCAAACAGGCAGCCAATAGGAATCGATCCTCAATCAATATGAAGAACTTTAAGAAGTTCAACGCCAGACGAAAATGGAAGGTGTGTCTGTACAGTAAAGATGATATAATTGTATAATTGAAAAGTAATAATCAGAATCAGAATAAGGTTTATTGCCAAGTAGGTTTTTAGACTTACAAGGAATTTGCCTTGGTGTTTGGTGCACAACACTTCTATGAGAAGCAAGAAATAAAATGTAGAAATAAAAATATAGGACAGAAATGATAAAACTGAAAAATACAATCTTTAAAGATATAGATCCGATTTTACAAATGAACAATCTTTAAAAACTATAGATCCAAATGTACAAATGAACAATTGAGATGTGCAATGTTGATCTGCAATGACAGACCAGAAAATGCTGAAGCATTGGGTAAATTAGTGAGGTAGAGTGGGGGGGGAGAATAGGTGGGGGTCGCTGGCCTTGTTGATGAGGCCAGTTGCTGCTGGATTGAAACTGTCTTTATGGCGTGAGGTTTTGGTCCTGATGGTCCTCAACCTTCTGCCAGAGGGGAGGGTTTCAAAGAGTTTGTGACCAGGGTGAGAAGGATCAGACATGATCTTTCCTGCATGCCTTAAAGTCCTGGAGGCGTACAGGTCCTGAAGGGATGGCAGATCACAGCCAATCACCTTCTGGGCTGAGCGAATGATACGCTGCAGTCGGCCCTTGTCCTTAGCGGTGGCAGCAGCGTACCAGATGGAGATGGAGGAGGTGAGGATGGACTCAATGATGGCTGTGTAGAAGTGCACCATCATTGCCTTGGGCAGGTTGAACTTCTTCGGCTGCCGCAGGAAGAACATCCTCTGCTGGGCTTTCTTTGTGAGGGAGCTGATGTTCAGCTCCCACTTGAGGTCCTGGGTTATAGTGATCCCCAGGAAACAGAAGGACTCCACAGAAGCAATTGTGGAGCCACACAGAGTGATGGGAGCAGGTGGTGCTGTGTTCTTTCTGAAGTCTACAACCATCTCCTCTGTCTTGAGGCAGCACTAATATCAACAGAGTACGACCAAAGAGTTGAGAACAAATGAATAAGCTGTTTATAACACCAGAAGCCAATCAGGACACGTTTATTCATTTCACGTATTCTGCATTACAGCAGAATAACATACAGCCACTCACACAGAAACATGATAAGATGTGTGTTCCAGTAAACTTGGAATGTTTTCTTTGCTAAAGTTCATTACCAAGTTTTTTTATCAATGGAAGCCTTCACCATCAGTTCATTGGGCATTTTTTCACACACTGAGCAAAACACACACAGACTTGGAGCTCTTAGTTACATTTCAAGAGCCCCCAGCAGTCTGGGCCTTTAGCAGTAGAGGGGGGAGAGGTGCATCATGGGAGCCATAAGCCATGGACCTCTCTCTCTGCCACTAATTGTCAAGGTAGTGGAAGAACTACTGTGAGAGTGTACAACCTCAACACAAACTTTTATCAATTCAGGATAAAATGATGAAAAACTGTCACCCAAAATATCCTCACAAAAGGTAGATTTCAAACACTCATCTCTTCTCATCATAGAATGAATAGATAAGGGTTTGGCAGCTGGAATCCAGGCCAGCTGCACTGGTGACTGAACCACCTGCTTAAGCCATGAGCTGATACCATGTCATGTAAGATGGATGGATGTTTCTCACCCTTTCCAGATGTCCTACAACATGGTGTGGATGTGTAACCGGCTTGTGAATTTGAGACTGCTGAATAAGGGCAGGACTGATCCAGATCCATTGCAGGTGAGACTATATGTCGGATATCTTGGATTCCTCTCTGGGTAGCTTGATGTAGGCTTTGGACAACGCCGGCTGCACCCTAACCAGCTTCATGAGGTCATCATGCCAGCTGGTGGTTTGTTGTTGTTCTGTGCCTCGTCAGCTAGCGTTGTTATCCAGACTCCTTTATGTCAGGACTGTACAGAGGCAGCACAGCCCCCCGGCTGTCCCACTGGGTGCTGGAGCCATAGCTGTCCTTTATACGCAGTGTGCTCACAGCTATTCAGAGGGAGGCATGGAGGTGGAAGTGTTATAGTGAGACTGATGTCTGATGCCAACCACAGACACACTCATGATGCCCTCATGAGGCTTTTGGCGGTGAAGTGAGAGAAGACCTGAGGAATAAAGCTTTATCTGTACTGTGTACTGCTCTGACAGCACAGAAAAACTAGTCCCTCGCTGGGATTCCCATAGGTCAGCACTCCCCACCTTTCTTCATCTGCTGCCCCGTGTCTCATGCTCTGTAGCTTGTATGTGCTGTTTTCTGCAGTGATATGGGAAGTGAGCATTGCTTTTGGTGCTTTTCTGCAGAGACAGTGTGAGAGTGACGCTGAGGACACAGACAGCAAGCCTGCCTCTCTGTTGCGCAGAAGACTCAGCAGCAGTTCTTAGAGCTAACCAGAAGGAGACAGCAGAGGCGTGGGGGCTCGGCGGAGAAAACTCCACACAAACCTTTATTTCATTCTTCTGGTTAAATGGGCCTCTTAACATTAACTGTTCAAATCTCACACGGTTGCAGAGTTGTATTAGTGACTTTTTAAAGCTCCTCCTCCAGATCACGTGGTGCAAATGCATGCCTTCTTTTTTTAAAGTGAGTATTGAGATGGTTACAGATTTTTAGAAAACTGATAAACAATTTGCTAAGAAATGTTTTGGGATAGAATTATATTTCCTATACAAAAGTCAAATCTATTTTAAGTACAAGTCTTCCATGAATAACATGTGACGTAGAACACTTCTCATCAGTCAGTTTCAGAAATTCTGCGGCTGCTTTGAGTGAAAATCACTTTTAACAGTCAGACCTTTTGTCCATGTTGCGTAGAAGCTGAACTTGATTCTTCTCCTCCTAAGGACTCTTTCCAAGCTTAGAAATGAAAGATTGAATTAAGACCCAGCATCAACAGCCGTTAGTGTGTGTGCGTGCGCGTGCGCGTGTGTGGGAGGGACAGAGAGTGCTGAGGGATGTGCAGAGACACTATACGTGGGTTTTGACTATTTTGTCCAAAGTTTCTTACTGCTGAAGGTTCTAACTGTTCATGTCTTCCAAAATTCTTCCTGGAATTTTTGTGTTTTGAATGAGTGTAATCATGTCATCTGAAGTGTTTTGAAGGTCTACCAATGCTGTTACATTTACATTGGTGAATATCACCTCCATTGAAATGATTATTAAAGTTTTTGCTTAGATGATTTATTCATTCATTTCGATAAAGCACCATTGTATTCATTTCAGCTTGTATTTGTGTTCAGATATGCACAACATCTACTGAAGAAGTTCATTTTGTGGGAATATAATTGAAACTCTACAATCGAGACAAATAAAAGGTCACTGGAAACTTTAAGACTTGTCCTGTCCAGATTATTGGGCCCTAAAGCTGAGATGTGAAGAAACCAGTAATCTTTGGACAGGTTGGGGCGACCCCAATCAGAGACTGACTCAGCTGAGTCATAAATAATGTTCATTGACTAGATGAAATATTTTAATAGGCAAAAGAGCAAGCAGCTTAAAAAGGATAACCAGGACTAAGGGATGGTCTACGGAAGGGAAGTGAACATGTTGGAGACTTTGTGCACGCCGTTTACCTCAGACGTACGCATAAGCCTGCTGATGCATAAGAAGCAGATCATCTTGTATTGGTGACACAAACTGCAGATACTAGAAGGCAATGTTTTAAACTGTCTCCAGCACTTACTCTACTTGACTGGATTTGACTCAAGTTCAAATTGTAGGACCTGCTCTTTCAGGGTCATGCCAGTCAATTTAAGCCATTTACAGAATGCAGGCTACTGGTCAGGAAGTGAAGTCAGGTGCAGGGACCAGATGCTCTGCCGTTACTGAGGGGAGGAGAAAATGATTGCTGCTGCTTGTCCAGGTTTTAAACTCATTTAAACTCAAATATTTCCACACACGGAGAGCGATTCCTAGTGGGAATCTGTCTTGGGAGGGGAAGTGGGTAACTGAGCTGACAAACCAGGCAGAGCTATGCCAGACTGCTCTCACAGGCTGTTGCTTCGTCTTTGGAAATTATTTTCATTTGCCATCAACTAAGAAAAAAACATTCAGGAGCTTATTTGGTGTAGATGTTTGTAATCTCCAGGTACTCTTTGGTCATAAAAGTAATACTTAATAAATACTAAATAAACCCTGAAGGCGAATGATAAAAAGATGGTTTGAATATTGGAATGATCAGATGATCGACAAACACAGGAAGCTGAAGGGCCACATTGGTTAGCAGTGTTGCATGAAGACACCATCCTTTTCTATGGTTCCATGTAATACAAGGCAGATGTGAACTGAATGAAAAAGGCAGGTACATATTACAAAAACAAAAAAAAGTTTATTGATGTAATTTGAAGTTTTAACAACCGGCTACATTTTTCACATCTGGATTCAGGTCAGGAAGGTTCCAGACAGCTGTAAGAGCAGTAATTGCAGGCATCACGCTCTGTCACATGAGCCTTCCCGCAGATGTGAGGGAATGAACAGCAGCCACAAAACTTATGTTCACTAACCATCCTGCTTTTTGATCAAATCATAATCCTTGGTAACCACCTACACTCCCAATATGGGTCATTAAGCCCTTCTGAGATCTCCCCCCGCCACCCGAAGCCTCTTTCTTCTTTCTCTGAGCTTCAGACCCTGTCAGAGCTCCTCAGTTCTTCTTGGCCTTTGGTGAGTCATACTTCCTCTTGCTGGAGTACCAGAGAAGCAGAGGGATGCCAATAGAGGGCAGAGTCATCACACCAAACGCAGCCCAGTCCAGCTAGAGAAGGAAGGCGTGGAACAGTCAGATACCAGGAGCAGATTAAACATGAAGTCAGTATGATGGGCACAATCAACCCCTTAGGCAAATGCTAAAGTCAGCCAAGAATTCATTCACATTTGATACTAAGGGAAATTCAGAACCAATGCAGTACTTTAGCATTTTAAAAAGACGACATGTTAAAGTCAACCCGGCCCATCATACTTTAAGCTCACTAGCAGTCCTGTGTTCTCTCTGCACAACAAAACAGTATTCAAAAGTTTAGATTGAAGGCTGCCTTAGTTTGAAGGTCATTTCAGAGCCCAAATGACTCACATAGTGTGGAGAGAAGCGCCGGTCAAACTCCCTCTGAGCCAGGATGCCACCCTGACCTGGGGCACTGGTATAGCCCACCTGCAAGAACACAGGAGAAGGATCAGCTTCACTCAACTCAGAACTTTCACCCACAGACAGGAGCAGCGCCTCTTACCACGACTTGTCCGCCCTCTTGGGCCAGATAGCTAACAGAGGCAGAGGTGAAGTTGAAGTATCCAGCCTTCAGGGGCCGCAGCACCACCGTGTGAGAGACATTGCTGGCTCTGAGTTTCACCGTTAAAGAAGTATGGCGATCTGTGCTGGCTCAGTCTAACAGGACAGCTGTCACCTGGTGCTGTAACATACACTCATAGTGATGACTTCATCCTCTCTTTACCCAACGAGCTTGCAGATGCTGGCATTTAATAGTTCGGCGCACCACCACTATACTAGGGGATAATGCGTCTCTAGAGCCTGCAGCAGTTCCCTCCTGTGATCTAAAACCTCCAATTGGGCTCATTTCTGCCATCAAACTACCATCAATGCACCAAACAAAGCTGCACAGTTTGTACATTAGAGTAAAGGATACGGTGCTATCCTGTCCCATTTTACATTCAACATCCCTGACACAATTCCAAAGTCTTCAGGAGGAAACGAATCGTCAGACAATTCTACCTCCAGGGCAGCACTGTGGAGACAGAAAAAAACAGGTTACACACAGTTCTTTCCACATCAGCATGCTGCAGACAGGAGAGGAATCCAGACCTGCTCAGAGTATCTAACTGTCTTCAACCGTCTTCCTTTACATCCAGTCAATGGGACAGCAGAGGCCCACCATAGCAAACAGCATCACAGACCCAAACCCAGTCTGTGATGCTAACAGAGCTAGCCTGGCCGCTAGCCGTTACTCAGACAGCAGCTTCTGGGGTCAGGGCTGTAGTGATGCAAGTAGTCTAGTGATCAATTAAGAGATCCACATAGACTATTTACGCCACACAGCTGTCTGCATTCTGCACATTAATGCCTCAAGCTGCCGCAACTATGCCTAATAATATAATATATCGTGCACTTGTTGAATATCACGCCCTGTGCATGGTCAATACCTTGTGCATTATTAAAAAAAAAATTTTTTATACGAGCTAGTAAACCTTCAAACATGTATTATCCTGCTTTATTCTTGCTAACTTGTGCCCATTGCTATTTTGTATATGTGCACATAAATACGTGCAAACAATCATGGAATGTTTGAAAAAATATTGCTAGTTCTGTGTAAATTAAAATGTTTGACTCATGTTTGCTGACGAGTCATGTGACTCATTGAGCATACCCATTTCGTGAACTTCATTCAGTTTAAAAACATTTAATTTCAGAATTTCTGTGATGGACACTCATTCCAAATCCGTGAACCAACATCAAGGTTCAGCCGTTTGTTGTTGCTATGCAATTCAATTTGATTTAAACATTTGATCCATTAGTTTTCAATTTAATTTAGTTATTTTAATGTTTTACGTCATTTTTGTTACATTTTGAGACTTTACATAGCTGTAAAGCAGTTAGAATTCGCTTGAATATGAAATTTTGCTCTACAAATTAACTGCACTTTTGTCGCCTAAAAATGACGTCACAGGCCGGGCTGCCGAGTTGCATATAATGTGATGGACATGGAATAGAAAACCCATCTAAACCGAGGACAGCCGGGTAGGCCTGAACAGGTACAAATGGAAAAAGCCCGATAACAGTCCCATGTAAAGCTTGCTACACACCAGCCCTGAAACTTCCCAGCTTCCGTCATGGCGTCGGACACTCACCTGGAACCGACGTTGTAGATGTTATACTGCAGGGTCAGGTCTCGGCCCTCCACTGCGTAGCGGTTCAGTAGGGATTTAGAGGCCAGCAGCCGGGCTCCTTCCTCTCCTGAGCCCAGGACCAGGACAGCTAGCAGCACACAGGCGCGGAGCATCATGGCCATCTGGAGAAAGGGCACTATTACACACAGAGATAGTACGAGTTCTGCTCGGCTCAGCCTGTCCGACCGGGGAACGCTGAGAAAGTGTGCAAATGTTTTAAATAGGTCAGACGGGATAAATGTTGAAGTGTCGACTGAAACACAGGGTTAGCGATCAAATTCCTCTAAGATACAGCAGCATACATAGAAAGCCTCTGGTCCTGCCTGCTTACGTGGACCAGAACTAGACAAGGCACTTGTCTACATTCAAACTCCGAGACAAAATTAATTCAAAGATTTCTGCTCACAACCTAGATGAACGCGAAACATCTTTTTTACCTATTGTTAAATAACTTGAAAGGAAAAACACAATAGCAGAAGACAGAAGTGACACCGCCAGACCATTACCGTACAGTCCTCTTCAAGACACAATTGCGAAGGATTCAACACTGCGCATGCTCACAGCATGAACGTTGCTGTTTGCATGACGTGTACCGGGGAGAAGCGAAGGAAGGCCGCAGACTGCAGCGCCCCCACAGGCCAAGCGGAAAACCCTCCAACTTCCTCTCTACAATTGGAGGCTGCTGCTATGCCCCCTCCAATCACTGCGCAAGGGACCAGTCACGTGTTTGCTCCTCTTTTGATTAACGAGCTCTGGGACCGCGTGGGGCGCTGTAATCCCGCCACAGCATGTCTCCGTGTCAAAGAACGTGTCAGTTTTGTTGCAAAGTAGGAAGACACACAGGGAATTATTTCCGGGGATTGTTAGCTTAACAATCAAATACATATAGAACAAGAAAAACAGTTTAAGATATGTGACAGAAAGGGACATTTTTAGTCCAAATATACAAATGATTTAGAGAAAGGTTAGGGTTAGAGTTAGCGGTGGAAGAAAGATCCTAAATATGAGGAGATTGGTTATTCTCTATTCAAGATCCAGGGTTAGGGTATGGGTTAGGTTTCTTTGTATGTTATATTATTTCATATCATACACATTAAGATGGTTTTGATAGCATCCAATGTACACATTTTTCTCAAATATGTGCAGAGCGCTGAATGAATCTTGCATTCCTGCTGTTTGTTTTTATTGATGATAGGGTAAAAAACAACCTATTAAGTCCATTGTGTGTACATTGCATTGTACTGTTGAGAATTTGAAATCGGTGGGGTCCTCTGTACACACTTTTGAGATGCATTTTTTCACCTTTTCGCTTTTCAGTAAATACTAAATATAGATACTCAAAAAGTCAAATATATATCACTTTAAAACGGGTATTTCAGGATGATACTTTACTGGCGAACTGTCCACATTGTACCAACCTCTGAGTCAGTGTCAGCCGGGATAGGCTCCAGCCCCCCACAGCCTACTAGGAATAAGCACTACGGACAATAGCTGGATGGACTAAACTGGCAATAAAAATGTCTATAAATGTTTGTAACTGCACTTCACTTCTTAGGAAACTAGGCCTAATATAATCTGGGTCGTGAGGATTTAGCCAATTCGGGTCCAAAGAAAAAAGTTTGGGAAACACTGAGTAAAGATATGACTAAACAGTTTCTCCCTGAGATACCCAGGTCCAAAGAAACAACTTCACTTCCTCTTTCTGTTCTTAATAGGTGTTTAAAGTTTAACAGCTGACGAGTTCCACTCTGTTTCAGAGATAGACATGACTGATTATCGGCAGTATAACTGCGAGAGAGATTTATACCAAACTGTGTTTAAAGCCCTCAACTCTTTGATCATGAAAACACCATCTCACCTGGAGCCCGTACCTGTCTGACTCATCAAAGAGCATTCTAACTTCATCATATTGTTAATAAACCTGTTTACATTTATTCTGTGTCTTCCTGCCTCTAATTCTATTTTTTTCTTTTTCAATCTATTTGAATCTTTTCAATGAAATATATAGTCTTTTCAATCTATATTGCAGCTAGCTCAGGCTAGACTTCTAAAAGCTTGGTTGTTTTTCTTTTATTCATTCCTGTTCAAACCAATAAAAGTAAGCAGCTTCTGCCACAAGGAGAGGCTTTTCCACAGACTTTCAGCCTGTGGAAGGGGCATCCAACCCTGTCTGATGAAGGCAGCAATGACACATACAAGTACATTTGACTTTGGCGAGTTTTCATGAAAGGCTTAAATGTCCTGTGTGGCTCCCTGTTTAGATGAGTGTCAGTTGAGATGTGATACGCAGGAACTCTTCAAGCACAACGTGCTCAGACAAACTAATGAAGTCACACACGCTGTGTGCATGTGGGTGTGTCCAGTTCTCTGGAGCTGAGGACATAAAAAGGACACCTGCTGCAGGTTGGTGATCATCAGGTGTGAGACTGTCAGTCTGGTGTCATCATGCTCCATCCAGCCAGAGCCCCCCGGCAGCTGGTCCTCCTGCTGCTGCTGCTGCACCAGAGCAGCTCCGCTGTTCACAACAACGCCACAGAGTCCGTGAGCCTGCAGCCCGCGCTGGACACTCAGGACCAGCCAGCTGAAGAGGACATCAATCAGGCCAGGAATGGGGGGAGACGGCCGGTTGAGGCTGCGCGTCACGGTGAGTCCAAATGGTCACGCATGCTTATTGATTCCCCTGAGCGCTACTGTCTGTAAGGGTAGAGTTGGGTAGGGCAGCTTCATTATCTGAACTTTCAGACTTATTTCAACAGAAGTAAACTTTGTTAATAATAAGAGTAAGGAAGGATGAGGGGAAGAAAAAAGTTTGATAGTGAAATACAGCAAATCAAGTCAATACAGCAGGCGTGGATTCCCCTCAGAGAGACACAACTTATGGTCTCGGTGTTCATTTGAATAGGTTTTAGTTCTTAATCCTGAAACAGACAAGAGAGATCAGCCTGTTCAAAGCTATCAGCTCAACTTGAAGTGGTCAGCTACTAAAGAGGACAACAGTGCTCAGGAGCTGTCGGTGTGAGGGTGATAACCTTTTTTAAAAAATGGATACCCCTCAACCCAAAACTTTAGGGGTCTGCAAGAGTTTCTAATGTCAGTGGCTCGATGTGAAACTGCTTAATGAGCAAAAATGTCATTCTGTCACCGCACCTCTATTGGAGATATTTTAGATGAGTATTATGGCACTGAGTTTCCATCTTTCAGGTCCAGATCAGAGTCAGGTGGGCTGCAGGGAGCTGAGGTCCACCAAATACATCTCTGATGGTCAGTGCACCAGTGTCAACCCCATCAAGGAGCTGGTGTGTGCAGGAGAGTGTCTGCCAGCCCACCTGCTCCCCAACTGGATCGGGAGTAGTGGTTACTCTGGGAGATACTGGAGCCGGCGCGATGCTCAGGAGTGGCGGTGTGTCATCGACCGGACCAGGACCCAACGGATCCGGCTTCAGTGTCGTGATGGCAGCTCCAGGACCTACAAAATAACAGTGGTGACGTCCTGCACGTGCAAACGTTACACCAGACAGCAGAATGATTCAGGACATACTAAAACATCTGCTCAGAATGCCAAACCACGGAAACATCTGGAGAAGACTGGACTCCCAGAGTTCTCAACCGGGAGACAGTCAGACAACTAGAGCCACTCACCACTGCATCCGCAAAAATACATAATAAGTCCCTATAGTCCAACCTGTTTTTGTCAAAAAGTGTATAGACGGATCATAAATGTGCAAATAACAACCCATTAATCACAGATGCTCACCTAATTTAAGTTTTTTTTTTTAACAGTCTATGGCCCAAAACAAAATCCAGAGAAAAATTGTTATTTTCTTTCATACAGAAAGTGACACTTTCACAACAGTTTCTTGTCAGAACTGATCTGGAATCAGAAACTGCTTAAGGGAATGTTTCATTTGGGGTTGTGTTTAGGTGCACCGCTGCTGGGACAAGCAGGAGGGCCTCAAACACTGGCTCTGCTTCTGAGGGAGACTTCTACCTGTAAAAAGAGAATATTTCCTTCCACAGTCTCTTCATACACCCTCAGAACAGTGGATTGGATCAGTTAAATTACTGTGCAACAAATTTGAAATTTAATTAATTGGAACTGATTGTTTTTTGATTGCATTTGAATTAAATGGACTCTAACTGGTTTGAATTTGACAATGTCCGTGAGGTATCAAGATATCACATCCATTGTGATTTGGTGTTTTATAAATAAACTGGATGGAATCAAACTTTCCAAAGACTAAAAAACAGTCCTGTCCGGATAGTTACTGGAGCACATTCTGTCATTCACACAATTTCATTAGTAAAGATGAAGCAGCAGTGTAAACTAAAACATTGTAAAATTGTTTGTTTGATAATCAGTTCAGGCTGTAATGGAATGCTGTGTGAACAATATTTTACCATTTAGCACTATCATGTTAATCCCACATGTTGGATCAATGCAAAAGGTTTCTGCCATATACACGTTTTTAATGTGAAGTTTGATTTATATGCTGGACAGTCTATGACAAATCTGTATGTCAGTCTAATCATATAAGCTTTTGACAATAAATATATAACTTATTTTGACTAAAATCTTAATCAGTTCACAATTTAAGCTGCGTTTGGATACTTTCTCACATCTAACATGGCAAAGACTTTTCTACAAAGCGGTCACTCTGCCAGAATGCTGCAGGCATGCCAGACAGCTTCACTGCAAACAGGAACTCACAACAACAGAGGCATTAGTCAGTGATGAAACTCTGCTCTCAACAGCTGCCATGCATTGTTTGCATGTGAAAGATATACCTTCACCTCCAGGCTTGTGGGGCTCTTTCCATCTGCAGCAACATGTTAAGACACTTTATTGTCTAAAGTCCCCATTCATGTTTTTCCCTCTAACCACAGAGAGCAAAGATACGTGGTGAAAAGACCTGCCGGCACAGAGGATGATGACAGGATGTTTAACTTGTCTTACCTTCAGTAGGAAAGGGTTAATGTGTCTTTGTCTCTTATATCCTGTAGGTAGAGTGATGGGACTTCAGAGCAACATTCACTCTAGAAAAGGTTGATAGTATGTCTCATTTTTAGGCAGACTTTGAACATATTTTGCATGGTTGTAAGCAACTGAGATTAAAATAAATGTATTTTACTCAAATACAATGAACTTAAAGCTGTTATTTTCCCGTTGTATTAAGCTAACAACATTGTGCTTATGGTGGTGGTACATACAGATATACAAACATTTCACACTGATACTAACACATGCAAGCCATGCTGTTCAGGCCGAGTTGTCCACCAGTACTGAGTAAATGCCCATCCAACGGAGAGCCCGCTCTCTTTTCTCCCTTTTGAAACTCATTTTTGGTTCCAGCAGCTTTGGCTGCCTGGAGTGGCCTTTCCCAGGCCACAACTTCTTGCTCGCTCTGCCAGTAGTCTGCATCCTAAACAACTCTGCTCAGTCTGAGTGATCTTCAACAATCAAAATCTACAATCAAACAGCAACTGTGGACAAAAACAGTAGTCCAGCCTCAGGCAGGGAGAGAGCTTCAAAAACTGTTTTTGTCACGGTCTGGCAGACAAAAGTAGGCTGGGTGCTGTCACAGTTGGAACACTGATCATCCACCAAAGATAAAATTAAACGTTCCA